GCTTGCTTTTAAGCTTTAGTTCCAAGTGCCCACGACCCAATCCAACAGGTGACCGAAGGCCGCGCTTCGCAGCCCATTGATGCCCAGCTTGCGAAGCGGCTTCAGGAGAAGTTGGACAAGATGGTGCATCCAGAGATCACAGGTAAACCTGTGAGTGCCGCCAGCTTGCCTGGGGAGAATCCAGTGCTGGCAAAGGCATTGGGTGTGCAGGCCTTCGGGCTCGCAGCGGGACATCTGTCCATTGCAAAATCCGAAAACAATCAGTTCTCTTGCCTGCGATGGGCAAAGCAGGGGACCAGGGAGGTTGCGATGCTGAACTTCTCAGATGTGATGTCCTTCCTTGAGAAGCGACAGCACGGCAAGGACGATGCGATGACGGTGTCCTTCGGAAACATCCTCTCTTGGGCTACTTCGGCAACTTTGCAGGATCTGAAGAATCTGATTCAGGCCCACCCGCATGCAGTTGTACGTGGAACAGTCGGCCCCAAAGACCTCTTGTACACCCCAGCAGCAGCCATAACTTTCCACCGTGTGCTCAACGATTGTGACTCACTTGGATTTCGCATGCCTTTGCTCAGTTCGATCGATGCAATGGTTTTGCCAAGGGTTCTTGAGAGCTTCAAGATGCAGCCGGGGGTTTCGATTCCCGCCGCCTTGGCTGCTGCGTGTGATTTCATGAAGAAGAGCTCGGATGCTTTCGTGATGAAGCACCAGGTCGCGAAGCCGGACCCGGTGCCGGTGCCGCCTGCCCCTGCTGAGGCTCATGCTCTCCAGGATTCCGATGATCCCACAAAAGCTGGGGATGCAGCTGAGGTGCTCGAGGCTGCAAAGGCCAAGGCAGAGGCAGAGGTTGCAAAGCAGCCTGAATCTGATCAGCATTCGAAGGAAGCGACTCTGTCGCCTTCGAAGAGGCTTCGGCTTAGCTGAGCTGAACCACTGAAGCAGCTGAAGGCTTGCTTCAGCTTTTTGCCGTTTGATGGGCTTTCTCTTGAATGTTTGACGGTCGGATGTAGTATGGATGTATGTGTTATGTCTGCAGGGGGTTGTAGTCTTGCATGGGAGCACTTCTGATTTGCACAGCCATGTTCAACTTGAAAGTTGAAAGGTTTTATTCCGCTACACAACGATTTAGCGAGAACTTGTGGTACACGGCCGTGCAGATGGGTGCAAGAGCTCTCGTGCTTGATTCTTTTCCAGCTTATGCAGGCCATCCGTTGCCGATTCGTCGATCAGCTTCGCTGCAGCAAGACTCAGCAAGATGTGTGTGCAAACAGTTGGGAGCGTGTAGATTTGTGGAGTTCCTAAGTCCCAAATCCCCAAATCCCGAAGGCCTCAAAGCCTCAAAGCCTAGAGGCCCATCACGGTGCCACAGCGTCTAGGTTGTGGTAGAGTGTGACCCCCAAATCCCAAAGCGTTTGGTTTCGCCACGTGTGAAATGCATCACTCGCTGCACTCACTTTGTTGCCTGGCACAGAGAGCTCTTGCGTGACATATCAGTCAGTCANNCATGTGCTCAAGGTGCTCAACTCAGGGGAATTCATGAGTGTGCTGTTATGTGATTGTCGAAATTTAGTAGCTTCCCAAGACTGAGTATTTGCAACATTACACATGTACTTTAGTTACTGCCCCACTCAATAACAGTCGGTCAGATAATAGAAATAAATAAAATCCGTAAGGCCCCTAGGAATAGCCTTAGCATGGACTGGTATTGGGTGGGGACAGTATTCATAGATAGGCACCGAAGCTGCAGCTTGTTTGGGCAGTCGCAGATAGCTATTGTGCAACATAGTAGCAGTAGTTTGCGTTTCAATGTCACGGTCGTTGCCATTGCAGTCCGACTTTGATACAACCTGCTTGAGCTTGGAGCCGCCTCTTAAAAAGAGGAAAGAACCCAATTTGGCGCCAGGACCAGACACACATGCAGATGCCGACAGATGGGCTTTCAAGAGTTTGGAGGCTCTGCGAGACACAGGGCTTCAGCAGTTTGGCGTAGATTTTGCTGCCCGGCTCCAAAGCACACTGGCTGCAGGCTTGTGCATGCGAACAGATTATTCTGGTTTGGGTGGGCCAGAGGAAGCCTTGGATCAGGTCTTTAGGGCACTGGGCAACAGGGAAGCTTTTCAGTTTACATGTCAGCGAAGTGGCGATGTTTTGCGATGTGCACGTGATCTTTTGAAATCCCGCCAGGGTTTGTCAAGGCCTGCGTGTGTCCATGTGAACATTCTGGAACGATTTCCGGAAGACTTGCTGGTGCGACTGGAAGATCGACGGCAGCAGCT